AACAACATGCATACACACCCAGAATGTTAGCAGCTGTGCATAGTAATCGCAAGCACGCACACCCACCTTGCATACTTTTTTACGCCCATAATTCTTTACGTACCCGTAAGGATTGTTTGCGCGCACAGTAATCCTAGAGCTTAAAGCTTCCACTTTTTTGCATTTTTTTCTAAATTTATACATACTTATTTGCTGTAACTTGAGTAGGCGAAGTCCTTGTTAATTTCACTTGAGCATCTTTAATACTTTCGTATGCTTCGGAATATTCGTGGCAATTTTTTGCCTTCTTCCTTACCTTAAAAAAATTGTTTTATTTTATTTTTATTTTATTTTTTTTCAACTGGGTATCATTTACATTTCGCCTGAGTAGCCTTTATCAGCGAAGTTCCTTCATACGCTCCTTCCGAAATTTGCCAATGCAGCGCAGCTACAAACAAACGTTGAGGCATCTATGGCAAGTAATTTATTTCTACATTCTATCAAACAAATTTGTTTGCTCTTTTAATGCACTTCTTAAGCGCAGTCTTTCAAAATTTTTGATGGTATGCTGTGCGTAAGTTTTACACTCAAAAAAGTTTTGCTTCTGCTGAACTTTGTTCAGTTGAAGACGACAGGTGCACACACTCTGCTCTTCAATCGTTAGTTAAGTGTATTAAAATGGCGCTTAGTTTGAGGAAGATGAAATGTGCAAAATTTGCTTAGTATTCTAAGAAGAATATAGTACTTAGTTGAACAATAAGTAATGAAATTCAGGTGATAAAAAAAATAGAAGTAAAAAAATTATATTTTAATTTATGTGATACGACAAGTTTTTATAGTCAACTTTATCAACGTGAGAGCGAACTTGCAAGGAGATATAGTAATCCCGGCTCTTGCGCCCCCGTCTGCGCACTCTGGGCTAAACGAACAAACCTTTGCGCGAAATACGGTAACCACTCGGAGTGGAGCTGAAAGAGAGGCAACTACGTTGCGGTGACTCCAACTTATTCGTTTTAAAGGCTCACTGAAGTCAGCAGCATCTGCGCAAAAGTAGGTGCGCTTGTAAGCGGGTTTGCGCTCGGCTTCGTGTCGGCAACGTACAAAACTAAAACTTTAAACAAATGAAAATTCAAAGATTCTTCAAAGGTTGATTAACCCCGCCTACGAAATAAGGACCACGTCTATAGAAAAGATGCCTCTATCCAATTGCTGGAAAAAATTGGGAGGATTCGGCGTAGAACTTCAATTTTCCGTATGCAACATGGAGGACTTGGCGTGCTCGATTTATTTTAAAGCATATCTCCCTTACAAACCTAACCCCAAAAACGCTTTAGAAATGCCAGAAATTTTGTGTTCGAAAAAAAAATAAAAGTAAATTTCTAGCTTTTTATTTGACCGAAAAAGTAAAGTAAAATTTTTAACTTTCATTTTCGACCTTTTTCAAAAGTTAAAGAAAATATTAAAACAATGTGAGAGTCAAACGAAAAGAGTTCCAACATTTTTTTTTTTGGAACTGTTTTTAACAGTGTTGCCACCTGTTAAAAACGTAAGATTCAATTTATAAATAAGCTAAATAAAATATCATAACATTGTGGAGGTCAAAAAAAAGGAGTTTAATACGATTTATCTCGAAACATTTCTCTAAGAGGGTTGCCACACGTAAAAAAAAAAATTAAAATGAATTTAAATAACAAGCTAAGCGAAATATTTTAGTATGCGTATCAAACCAGAGAGGATTAAGAAATTTGTATTAAATTTTTTTAAGGTGGCTGCCACCTATTTAGAAATACAAAATCAATTTAAGTAATATGTTAAATAAAATATTTTAATGTGGATATCACACGAGAGTGGCTTAACAAAAGCTATATCTATTTCGAAAAAATCGGGTTGCCAAGAGTTTAGAATTTCAATAATCCATTTCGTTTACCAGCTAAATGATATATTATGATATAGGTGTCAAACGAAAGAGGGTTAATAAATCTTTATTTTGAAAATATTTTGAAGGGGTCGCAACCTTTTTAAAAGTGAAATTCCATTTTTACATAAATAGAGTATTACAATATGTATGCCAATATCTAAATGAGCTAACTTTGCTCTATTTCCAAAATATGTTTAAAGAGTGCTGCCGCCTATTCAAAAGTAAATAAATTAAATTGGTCCCTTCAATGGCATAGTTATTACAAAAATTCGAAAATATTTTGATAAGGGCTGTCAGCTGTTTGAACGTTTAATTCAATTTAATAAAATATTGCAATATATCAAACGGGAGATTTTAAGAAAGCTTCATTATGCAAATCGTTTTAAAAAATTAAAGATTTTCCACATCTTCCCAATTTCAATATACATATATGTATATTCTGTTTAAGCTTAATGAAATACTTACATACATACATACGGGTGTGTATAACAATTAGACATTGATATGAAATGAAAAGTGTTCATACATACACATATGTGTGCTTTTATTCAGACATATTTAAAAAAAATTGCCAACTATAAAAATAATTTAAAAAATGTATATAGTATAAAGATTAGCTACGAAATGTAAGATGTGTTTTTTTAATTGAAATTCGACACATAGACCATATTCTGGTACCCCGAGACAATATGAAACTTTTTTTAAAAGCAATTTATTATTTTCTCTTATATGTATATGTTGCTTATTTTCTTTTTTGTTACATTTTAAATCATAACGTTAAATCGAACTTCACGCGGCCGGAGGGTGGTCCAAAAATGCATGTGAAAAAGTAAAGCCGGAATTTGTATGTTCTCACCCTCTGGGATCGTTCTATACAGAAAAAAATACCCCTATTTTTTGTGTTTTGAAACAAAAATCGGAATTTTAATGCTCTCACCCCCCAGGGATTGTTCTACATTGGAAAAAAATATATATCCTATTTTTTTTAATTCAAAAAATATTTAGAGGTCACTTAAAGCGCTCAAAGCTTTCCATATATTTTATAGGTCCGCCAAAACCTCAGAAAATGCAATGGGGGCCAATAACAATCTTAAGTATTAAAAATAGTTAAATAAACAATTGGGGTTTGTTACTGTTACCTGAAGAGAACCAGAGCTTTCCGATCTAAAAGTATAGATTTTCAATAATCTATACCATTTCTATGAAAAGTTGTTTATTTCCCATATAAAATTCATGGAAAACTTTGTTATATTTATTGAAAGTCAATGTGTTAATTTGTTGTACAAAAACAAAATGCACTGCAGAAAAATTAAAAAGAAAATGTCGAAATTCTTCATGCCTTTTTAATCAACAAATCTTTCATGTACATATTAGTGCCTTTATCAATGTTATTTTTAGTACAGAAAAATACGTCATTCAATTGATTCCTCGCCTGCAGACGCATTTTAATTGCCCGACTATTAAGCGCCACAACAATGGGTAGTCGATTATTATACTACATACAAGTGCATATACATATGTACATACATAATTATAAATGCATGTGCATTTAAATGTTGG